TCTGACCAGAGCGTCCGTTCACCCCATGTTGTGCCTAGTGAAGGGGTACAACGACTCTATTTCATGGGGGCTTCTATTTAAGCCCCATGGCTGGCTCTAGCTCACTCTTTTGGCCATTTGCATTGACATAGCAACCTTGTGAGCTTAGCCAAAGCCCTCCCACTCATCTCTATCATAGATTCATCATCTTTGTGAGATTGGGAGTGAATCCAAGTGTATTGCTTGAGTGTTTGCATCTAGAGGCACTTGGTGTTCGTGTTTCGCTGCGGGATTCGTTTGTTACTCTTAGTGGTTGCCGCCACCTAGACGGCTTGGAGCAGCGAGGATCGTTGAACGGAGGTTGGTGATTGTCTCTGGCTCCGATCGTGGTGATTGTGAGGGGTTCTTGACCTTTTCCCGACGAAGAGCCAAAAGGTACTCTAGTAAATTGCTCGTGGCTTATGCGATCCTCATCTTATGTTGGTTATGTGGCTTGTGTGATCCTCACCTAGTCATCTTGCTCTATCACTTTACATTATCGCAAACTAGTTGTCTAGCTCTTTAGTGTAGTTAGTCGTGAGAGCTTGTTAGTTTGGTTAGTGTGGCTCTTTAGTTAGTCTTTGAGAGCACACTAACTTAGTGTAGCAACATAGCCATTGTGTGGATAGAGACTATAGAAACTAGAATTATGGTAGGTGGCTTACATTTTTAGTAGGCTAGCGCAACACTCGTTTTACCTCATATTTGTCTAACTAGTTTGCTAAGTGTTGTTGTAGAAATTTTTAATAGGCTATTCAACCCACTCTCTAGCCATTAGGACCTTTCAGCTGTGCACGCCTTCATCTTGTGGGCTGGGCCACCTCTGGTGGTTCGACCCATGTCTTGTCTTATGGATACCGGGGGTCATATCCCCCACAGTTAGTCCCCGAGCGCCTTGTATCCTTTGAACAACGCTGTCTTGAACAAGTCCGAGCACTTTGGCATGAAGCCGATCAGTTTAACTGGTGATCCGAGCAGTGGAAGTCGAAATCGACCAGTTTAGCTGGTGACCTGGGCAGTGAAGGTCGAAGCCGACCAGTTTAACTGGTGACCTGGGCGGTGAAAGTCAATGCCGACCAGTTTAACTGGTTAGGAGACCTCGGACTTAGCCAAGTAAAGCTTGTTAGAAGGATGTAAGGGGCTCAAGATATAATTTAAAAATTCTTTCACTTAGAAGAAGTGGTCACTTAGACTGCTAGGTGAATCAAGAAATAAGAACTACATTCACCGCTAGGTGAAGTGTAGCCACTTAGTCCCCGAGCCTGCTAGAAGACGAATAATGAATCTTGTAGCAGGGTCAAAGAAAAGAAGCCTGAAAGCTTGCCGACATCATCTGACATGCGTGTATCAAGACCCAAACGTGCTGCCCAAGATCCGCACCCTGATCCAAACAGCATGGAGCAGCTTGATAGCAGACCGTTGAGACGTAGCAAGATCTGACCACCAAGAGATTCCCCAGCTTAGCTGGCGATGCTAGCATGAAGAATTTGAACATCGAGGAATCCTCAGCGTAGCTGGCGACATCCGAGCACCGAGGAGTCCCCGGCGTAGCGGGCGAGGTCCGAGCACCGAGGAGTCCTCGGCGTAGCTGGCGACGTCCGAGCACCGAGGAGTCCTCGACGTAGCTGGCGATGTTCGAGCACCGAGGAGTCCCCGGCATAGCTAGCGATGAAGCACGAGCAACGAAAAATCCGGTCAACTGGTCGGCGGCGAAGTGAGCATTAAGTAGAAGCGACCGACGAACAGTCCGATCAACTAGTCGGCGACGAAATTCATGAACCTAGCGGTCCAACCAGTTGATCGGTGGAGAAGTCCGAGCACCAGGTGGTCTGATCACCTGGATGATGATCCTGCAATACAAATATGTAGCACCAGGTGGAGCCGCTGCCGACCACCCATAACGCAGAGGGCGGACACTCGTGCACGTGTAGGGAGGAGCTAGAGACAGGGCCGTCTGTGGGAACATCCGAGCATCAACTTGACTGTTCGGGGGTTCGCCTTAGACTTAGCTGTATGGCATCTTTAAGATGGTATACATAAAAGAAAATCGTTTTGAGAGCAAACATGGAGAAAACAGCTCAGAGAAACATTATGGCGTTATACGAAGATCGGAGAATATTTAGAGAAATATTAAAACGTGACTTAGCTTTAGACAGAACGTCTGGTCGGTGGCGTATGGCGTTATCTGGTCGGTATGTACGAAATTGCCCGGCCCTTTAGCTTTCCGAACTGTCGTCATAGCGGCGGTCGCGGTTGTCATGGCGCCGTTCTTCACGGCGATCATCGTTGCGACGCGGCAGGTGGCCAGAGTAAGTAGTCCGGACGACGTCGTCCTTATATTAGTGGTCGGCGACTCGGGTTTGCTTAGTGGCTCGCTTGGTGGCTCGGGCAGCTCGCTTAGCAGCTTGGTGCGTAGAAGAATTGATCTTGAATTGCTTCGACGGTCGCGGCGTTGCGTGTGTTGATCGGCACCAAGCAGTAGCCCATGCACGCGATCACGAAGGCAATGATGCAAGTATATGCAAGTCGATCCCCTTGCATGTCTGCCGGTTGCACGTGGAAGCTACAATTAGCTTGCATGGTGGTGTAGATGCATTCGTACTCCTTGCAAATCCATCCTTGTTTGCTTGATACGTGACTTTGAAAGTTAGCTTGCATGGCCTTGCAAATCGGACGTGGCCTTTGGTTTTGACGGGCGGGAATATCGCTTAAAATATTATAGTACATATCCGACTTTCATGTCCACGACGTAATTCATACGCGTGGCTGCTGCTGTTGGGATGGGTATAGTAACTTAGCCCGTGTTCAGTTGCAAAAAAAAGTTCCAAAAAAATGCTACAGTATCCATCACATCGAATTTTACGATACATACATGGAGTATTAAATATAGATGAAAAAAAACTAATTACATAGTTTGGTGGAAAATTACGAGACGAATGTTTTAAGCCTAATTAATCCATGATTGAACACTAGTTACCAAATAAAAACGAAAATGCTACAATAGTCAAATTCTAACTTTCCCCTCGACTAAACAAGGGCTCGTGACGAGTCCGAGCGTGTCGAAGGTTGTCGGTGAACTGCCGCCGGCACTGGCTCGGAGTCAGAGACGCATCTGGATCATCAAGAAAAAAAATAAGAGCTTCGCACCGATGAATCTGATAAGTCGGCTCGGCTGTTTCCGGGACGTGGAGGGAGCGTGTTGCCAGTTGTCGTCGAGGCTGGTAATCGCCTCTCATAGATGGATCGCGGCGACATGTTACGCGACACGTAGATGGATCTTCTGGCTTTTTCTGCAAGATTGGTTGGTAACACGCCGCCATGATTCGTAGTCTCGTGATGTCGAGCCCGTAGGGCTGCTGAAGGACACCGCCGCGGGAAGTCAGGTTGCCACGTGCGGTGTTGATCTTGAGGTATGCCATCTAGCTTGTTATGGGATCAAGCGCACACCCCTACTTAGCGCGCCAATTGTCGACAAAAGATGTTCGGCAGTCCACCGAGGGGTATCCCGCGATGGTAGATTTGTCGGTGGAGGTGCGCGTAATCAGGAACCGGATGGTGACACAAGGCGCAGAGATAGCGATTTAGATAGGTTCGGGCTGTCTGATCGACGTAATACCCTACGTCCTGTGTCTTTGGTGTATTGTATTGAATATGAAATGCATCTAGATGTCGTCTAGGGGACCAGTGCGTCTCCTTATATTCTCTGAAGGGGTAGGGTTACAAGAAAAATATCATATTTGGTACTATACAATATCTTGCGGCGCACGTCGACCAATGCAGTGCACCTCTGATGGTGCGGCCCATGTCTTATCTTGTGGATACCGGGGGTCATATCCCCACATTTTAGCACCCACAATATCCCAAAACCATGTCTTGTCTGGATAATGGGATTATGATAATGAAGATTTTGGTTATAATAATTCATCAAGCAGAGCCTAACCTTTTATATATATAATATAATATCATCAATAACTTGTAGTTTTTTTGTTACAATGTTATTACTACCATTTGCAATCAAACATACTTTCTATGGTCATATAATTTTATAGTCAAAAGCAACATGATATAGAGAGAATGAATGGTGACACAAGGTGAGACCTAGCAAAATGTGTCAAATCAAAGTCTGCCTTATAAACGCGGCGGAGTTGCGTCGGGCCAATGATGACCTGGCCCGGCCAGACGGTGGAGGTGATCCGTCTTCGCCGGGATGCCGAGGACCACGGCCGCTTCGCCACCCGGATGTAGGCGGAAAACAGCCGCCGTTTCAACGCCCTCAACGGGGCACTTGTGACCACGGGCCCTATCATATCCGTCCTCTCTCCTAGGCCTCAGCCCCTCCCATCGCACACTCACACGACGAGCTCGCCGCTGCTGTGCCTCGTCCTCACTAGCGCCATGCCCTTGCTGGAGACCGCGCACCGCCCGGAGCCAACCACGACCTCCGCCGCCCCCGTTCGCTGGCCCTAGCCTCCGGCATCGTCGTCCACCGCCCCCTTCGTTGTCCTCCGGCTCCTGGCTCCGCATCCTGCCGGGATTGACGCCGCTTAGCATCTCAGGCGGTGGAGGGTAAATAACCACAAATTTGTAATAGTACCGACCAAATTACGGTTTGGCATGCGCTGTGTGCCGGTCTGTCCTCTAGCAAAATTTACCTAGTTTCCTTTTAGGTGTGTGTATATATATAGAAGAAAGAGATATAATACTGCATGCATGTTTTATTGTCACGATGCCATCACCATCAAAGAGTGGCACATGGGTGGACGCAGCTTTGAGGATACTTAGAACGACACAGGACGTACGATGCCCGTGCTGCTGCGTCCACGTACAGCTCGACGCGTACATGTACTAGCTATGTACCCAAGTATGCATGCATACAGGTTATTACACATTGCATGTAGCTACATATATATTTAGCGACCGCGATGTCGATCGTCATCAGGGCCGCCTAGCGTAGCTTAAAGCCGGGCGGTAGCTAGATGGAGCTAGCACTGCCTGATGCACTTGCACTGGCGCATGATGCCGTCGCAGTTGCCGCCGCCCCAGCCCTCCTGCAAGCACACCTGCGCGCAGTTGTGGTCCGACATGCAGACCCCCTTGAAGCCCGCGCTCCGGCGCCGGCACACGCGCGCCTCCGCCAACGGCACCGCCGCCTCCTCTGCACGCACGCATAATTAATTTTCAGATGATTAATAACTATATAAAAAAGAGTATATAGATGTTGTCCACTCGAATTCAGATGATGAATAATTATTATATATATATATAAACATGTGCGTTTATATATGATAATGTTGTAGCTAGGCTGATGACGACGTACGCGCAACGACGATGAGGAGCAGCAGGAGGACGGCCACCTGCGTCGCCACCTTCCTCATCGTCCACATGCTGGCTGTCGGTCGGCGGGTGCTTGTTGATGGGTAGATGAGCGTGTTCGTGCAAAGCAGGCGATGCCAGATGCTGGCTGACCTGCCTGCTGCTGGCCCGCAGATTTATAGGCGCGGTCGCTCGGCGTGCGGTGGACGGCGCATGCAAGAGCGGCGCCGCGTGGCGAGCTCCGGCGGCCGTGCAGGTGCACGTGGCTGCCCGGATTTTTTTTTAATTTTAACATTTTTTAAAACTAATTTTAAATATAATACTATTTAATTTTTTTTTCTAAAACTATTACTTTTGGCCGTGTCTATTTCCTATCGCGGCGAAACATCTGTGCCGCATCATGCATGGTAGCGCGACGAGAGGGATGAAGTGGCGATGACCGAAACAATGATCGATGACAAGACAGGGCCGGTCTGCCGCGCCACCGATCAGAGCGCGGCAGAGCAATGCCAAGATCGGTGGTGCGGCAGAGCCCACGACACCAGATAATGACTGTGAGACTGCAGGGGACGCACGCGGCAAAGATCGATGGATTGGGCATGCACCTTTCCACGGCGTGTACAGTGCCGCCTCAGAGAGCATCGGGGCCAATGTCCTCAGCTTGACAGGGGAGGGTGAGCAGTAGCGTCTGGTCTGAGCCAGGACATGTCGGCACGTGTCTTCTGCACCGCGGAAAGGTGACTCAGAAATGGACACGTCGCATCACCGACGACAATGGCACCGCTCAATTCCCGCGCATGAAAAGCCGGCCCGGAGCCACGGCCCAGCCGGGGGTCACGTGTGACACGGCGGTGAAGTGGAACCAGACGGCACTGTGCGTGAGTCGTGACCGTGTCCTAAATTGATCCATCTGTACCCGTCGCTCGTGTCTTCTTCGACGCGTCTCGGTGCTGACTCAGGGACACGTGAGCGTACGTATATTGATTAGTTAGCAGGTTTTTGGACACGCGTCGGGATGATTCACTGACTCATCACGACAGCCCATGCAGCTGTCCTTCTGGCTCATTCTTCTTTCCTCAAGAGAGCCACGTAACATTCGTGTCTACAAGCACCGAGTCCTTCAGACCGTACCAATCCTCCAGATTGGAGGATTAAATTCTTCACCCAGCTGTTTGTCAATCACTCACAAATCCGGGGCTCAACCATCTACAAGATTAGCAGGACCCTTAATAGAACGGCGGATACTCTAGCAAAACAGGCTTACGCTCGCTCTCAGTCTAATTCTACACCTTGTGAGCCTGTATGTTCAAATTCTACCTCCACTTCACTCGCCAGAGTTCTAAATCCTGGCGTGCATATATTTTTGGGTGTTTGTGAGTCTAATTTAACAGTCATGTGTGTAGCCTCACTAGAGAAATCTATTACAGTCTTACGTCCAGTGACGGAGGATGGAAAAAAATTAAGGTAATAGTGAAATCGATAACTTTGATATAAGATATTTCTCAGTATATTAGTTTATACACATAACATATCATGATCGTCACCTACTACAAAAGTAAAAATATTTAGAATAAAAAGAAAGATACAAGTAGTCAATAGACTAACCAAGTGACGATTGCGTCTAGGCCCCGCGGCGTGTCACACGTGACCCCCGGCTGGGCCGTGGCTCGAGGCCTGCTTTTGTGCGCGGGAATAGAGCGGTGCCATTGTCGTCGGTGACGTGACGTGTCCCTTTCTAGAGTCGGGCAGCGTCGGCGCGCCGCCCGCGATGCAGGAGACACGTGGACGATGCCCTGACTCAGCCCACACGCTACTGCTCACCCTCTCCTGTCAAGCTGGCGTTGGACCCGATGCTCTCTGAGGCGGCACTGTGCACACCGCGGAAAGGTGTCAGCTCGTAGGCGTGCCCACTTCATCGACCTTTGCCCGCGCGGTACCCTGCAGTCATCATCGGGGGGTTGTGGGCTCTGCCGCGCCACCTGCCGCGTCCTGATAGGTGGCGCGGCAGACCCTGCCACGTCAGCGGTCAATGTCTTAGTCGTCGTCACGTCATCTCTCTTGCCGCGCCATAATGCATGACGTGGTACAGGCGTTTCGCCGCGCCAGAAAAATAAACGCGGCCAAAAGTGTTAATTTTGAAAAAAAAATAAACAGTATTAAATTTAAAATTAATTTATAAAAAATGTTAAAATTAAAAAAAATCGCTGCCCGCACGGACTGCATGCGCGTCAGGTCAGGGTAAAAGAGAGCGGCGCATCATCACTCAGTAGTCATCAGTAGTGCCGGATGCGTGCCACTGCCGACTTGGCGAGTTTGTGCAGTAAGTAGTGTCGACGACACGGCGCCAGTCATGCAGCAGCTAATTCTAGCTTAAAATTGACTGAAAACTCAAAAATAATGTTTTGGCTGAAATATTATGAAAAAACATTGTTATAACTGAAAAAATGAGCTGAACAAACCAAATATAGGGTAATTCGAAGGAGGCCTTGACTGTATCCGTTGCCTGTCTGGCATGCACGGGAGGGGCTTGACGTCGACGAGCACCGCTGGCCCATGGCGGTAGCGGCGTGGCAGCAGGGGGCAGGGGCCGAGCCGCCACGTGCCGCTGCCACGTGACTATAAGTACCTCCTCTCCTGGCTCACACCTCCACTCTCACTGTCATCGATCCATCGATCGATCACCTGCGACCCGTGCTCAACATCTGATAGATAGTAATCAAGACGTACTCGTCTCCCGCCCGTAACTAATCCAATCCACAGTCGTCGCCGCCGCCAATGGAGCTCAAGTCCAGGGCGACCGTGTGCGCGCTCCTCGTGACGCTGCTCCTGCTCTCACGTAATAACAATAACATAATAATTTGTTGGCTTAATGTATTTTTTCTTTCGTCGATCTGCCTCGTCAATTCTTACTTCATTCACAGACGACGGCAATGGCGGCGGCGGCGGCGGCGGCGGGAGGATGGTGGCGGAGGCCCGGGTGTGCATGGGCAAGAGCCAGCACCGCTCGTTCCCCTGCATCTCCGACCGCCTCTGCAGCAACGAGTGCGTCAAGGAGGAGGGCGGGTGGACCGCCGGCTACTGCCACCTCCGCTACTGCAGGTGCCAGAAGGCATGCTAAGCTGGTGAAATGAAGTGAAATACCCTTGGCTTGGCAGAAATGTAGTAGTAATACCGTACGTCGACGTGCTTGCTTGCACCTGCACAACCATCAGTTGTAAAGGTGATGTCATGTAATGTAACAGCAATAATAACAGGGCATGTCGTAGCCTTGCAATGTTCCGAGTAACAGATTGTACGTTTCCAACGTCAGTCAGCGAACGTTTCCATCACTCAATTCATTCATTCACTGCAAAGTTTTCCAGCTCAACCTCTTGGCATGCTGAGGTATACAACCCATCCATCCATGCTCTGAAAAAAGACGACCTTTGGTTGCTTCAGCATTACCATCTCTTTTGGGGTTTAGCTTCATTCGTTATCATGTTTTCAACTAAACCCACACAGATTAACATCAGAATAGCAGATTCCTTACCAACCCATCAGCCCAGGTCGAGGTAGATTCCTTCCATCCGTCTACGCTGCTTCGCCGAGTCGGCGGCAGCGGCTTCTTCAGTGACCTTCAGTGTCTGAAGTGCCGGACGCCGGTGAAGACGAGGGCCACCCCGTACTTGTTGCAGCAGTCCACGGCGTCCTGGTCCCGGATGCTGCCGCCGGGCTCCGCGATCACAGCGATGCCGCTCTGGCACGCCTCCTCCACCGCATCGTTCCAAGCTGCATCATCATTCCGGTTCAACAACACATTAATTAGCTAATAGGAGTAAATAACAAACGCTGTTTTTAGTGTTCTTTGTTGCATCCAGAACCATGTGCTTGCTTGCTTCTACGTACGGTTCAGGAGCAAGAATAAAAATTGATCGAAATCAACTAGTACTCGATAAATGCTTCAATTCCAATTTTGAAGCCAGCACTTTTTGGTTTCTTTTTCCCTTACCAAACGGGAAGAAGGCATCGCTGGCCAAAGCAGCTCCCTTGGCCTCCTCCCCTGCCTTCTTGAAAGCAATCCTCAGGCTCTCCCGCCGGTTCGGTTGGCCACTGCCCATACCCAACATGCAATTGTTCTGCAGAGACCAGCCATCATCAGGCACAGAATCAATAGACTGTACAGCTAGCTATATCGCGCTCCCCACATAACCTAAAAGGTATGCATGCGTGCACTACTGACCTTGGCGATCACAATGGCGTTGCTCTTGACGTGCTTGACGCAGAGGCACGCGAATTTCGCATCCGAAAGCTCACTGTACCCAGGAGTCCTCTCTGACATTTTTGTGAAGGTGATGTCTTCCGGGGTCAGATCGTCCGACTCTTGAGCCAACCAGCCGCCAGTCACTTGTCGCAGCGACAGCATTCCTTTCCCGCTCCTCTTCGCCTCCAGTATCCTCAGCGTCTTTGGATTTCCCTTTCAGGACCTCCAGGCCCTTCTCTGTGTACCCAGGCGCGACCACAATCTCGTAGAACATCCTTGTCTCGCCGTCCGTGGGGCTCCTGAACTCACGGATTTCCCTCGAAAGATCCTAAACATGTAAGTCAATGTGTCAACAATAATGCATTATGCATAGTGGACAGCGTTGGAAGATCTGCAGCTTGTGTAGGAACATGGTGCTGGGTTGACACCAAAATACCTCATCGATCGTCATATTGAAGGCAACTATGCCGCCGAATGCGCTGACAGGGTCTCCTTTCACAGCCAACCTGTATGCTACACCACACGGATTTGTGTGCTTAACCACAACACAAGTCGGGCTCTCAAACTCTGAGACACAGTTCCATGCAGCATCCGCATCCAAA